TTTCCTGCTTATGCAGGGGGTCGGACTCGATGATCTATTGAGGTCCCTTCCGACCCTAACATCTATGAATCTATGAATCTACTGGAATTTATTATCCAGCATAGGGTGGTGAAAGCAAGCAGCAAGGCAGAGGTCCTCAAATTCAGGAGGGCTGACTTCTGTAAGCTAAGGCTGGTAGGAGAGGCATTGGGGTCTCAGAGCCTCAATGAGATGGGGGTCCAAGATGAGTGGCTGTTTCTTAAGGAGATGATCCTCCAAGCTCAACGGGAGTCAGTCCCAATGCGCACCAAGGAGGGCAGGAGCACTAAGAAGCCCCCATGGCTCAGCAAAGGCATCCAGGGATGCCTGAGGGCAAGGAAGGAGGTGTACAAACAGTGGAAGCAAGGGGCTATAACCAAGGAGGATTACACCACTGTTGCTCAGGACTGCAGGGAGGCAGTAAGGAAGGTCAAGGCAGAGATGGAGCTAGGGCACCAGGTAACATGGGACCCCTACAGGATAGGCTTGGCAATCTAGTGATTGCAGCAAATGAAAAAGCTGACCTCTTTAATGAATTTTTTGCCTCCATATTCCTGAACAGAGAATGAGACATTTCCCCCACTAGAATTGTGGACTGAGCCAGGGGCGGCACCGCCATGCCTAAGGTCAGGGATGACCTAGTTAGGGAACTCTTGGAGGGGCTGGACATATTTAAATCAGTAGATCCAGATTCTCTTCACCTGAGGGTGGTGAGGGAATTGGCGGGGGTCATAGTGGGTCCCCTGGCACAGGTCTATGAGCGCTTGTGGGGCACTGGCCAGGTACCAGAGGATTGGAAAAGGGCCAATGTGGTCCCCATTTACAAAAAGGGGAGGAAGGAGGACCCTGGAAATTATAGGCCAGTCAGTCTTACCTTAGTCTTTGGGAAGACCTTTGAGAAAATTATCAAGGAGCACATCTGCAAGGGCCCAGCAGGGGATGTAATGCTCAGAGGCAGCCAACATGGGTTCATTTAGTGCAGATGCTGCCTGACTAACCTAGTTTCTTTTTATGGTCACATCACAAAGTCCCTGGACGAAGGTGTCAGGGTGGATGTTGTCTTCCTGGACTTTAAGAAGGCCCTTGACACCGTTTCCCACCACATTCTCTAAAAAAAAATAGGTGACTGTGGCATTGATACCTACACAGTCAGATGGGCAGCAAATTGGCTAGATGGTCGCACCCAGAGAGTGGTGGTGGACAGGTCATGGACAGGTTGTTTTCAACCTAGAGGGATGTGGGCAGTGGAGTCCCCCAGGGCTCGGTCGTGGGGCCTGTACTGTGCAACATCTTTATCAGCGATTTGGATGTGGGAGTGGAATGCATCCTGTCCAAATTCGCTGATGACACCAAGTTGAGGGGTGAGGTGGGCACACTGGAGGGGAAGGGACAGAATTCAGCTAGATCTAGACAGGTTGCAGAGATGAGCAGATGAGAATAGGATGGAGTTCAATGCAGACAAGTACAAGGTACTGCATCTAGGGAGAAGGAACCTGCAACATACCTACAGGCTGGGGAACACCCTTCTTGTCAACACGGGTGGCAGAAAGGGATCTTGGAGTCATTGTTGGTCATCTAGTCCAAACTAGATCATCCCAGCTAAGGCTTTATCTAGGTGGGTCTTAACAACCTCCAAGGATGGAGATTCCTCTACCTCTCTGGGTAACCTGTTCCAGTGCTTTACTTCACTGCTTGTGAAAGAGTTTTTCCTAGTATCTAACCTAAATTTCCCTTGCTACAACTTGAGACCATTGTTCCCTGTTCTGTCATCTGCCACCACTGAGAACAGTCTAGCTTCATCCTTTCTGGAACCCCTCTTCAGGTAGTTGAGGGCTGCTATTATATCCCCTTTCAGTCTTCTCTTCTCCAGACTAAATAAACCCATGAGGAGTTCCCTCATAAGTCATCTGCCTCAGCCCCTAACCATTTTTGTTGCCCTTTGCTGGACTCCCTCCAATTTGTCCACATCCTTTCTGTAGTGGGGGGCCCAATACCAGACACAGTACTCCAGATGTGGACTCACTAAGGCTGAAGAGGGGAAGAACCACTTCCCTTGATCTGCTGGCAACACTCCTACTAATGCAGCCCAGTATGCTGTTAGCCTTCTTTGCAACAAAGGTTACTTTGAAACCTCACGACAACAACAACAGATGGAAAAGCAGGAGTGGAAGAAACAGCATGTTGCGTGCCAATCAAGAATCCAGCACCACCTACCCCACACAGAAATGCATGCCCAACCTGCAATGGATAAACACATGTCAATCCTGGATTGGCCTAATCAGCCATCTCTGGACAACAGATAAGACAATCGTGGAAGAAAATCATCCTTGACTGCAATGGATTGCCGAAGAAGAAAAGCCTTCTTTGCAACAAGGGCATACTATTGGTTCATATTCAGTTTATTGTCCACTGTAACCTCCAGGTCCTTTTGTGCTAAGCCACTGCTTAGCCAGTCAGTCCCTAGCCTGTACCAGTGCATGGTATTGTTCTGCCCTAAGTTCAGGAATTTGCACTTATTGAACCTCATAAGATTTATTTTGGTCCAATCCTAGTCCTACCCTCTGGCATATGTACTGCTCCCCCTTTGAGCCTGAGCATCCAGCCAGTTTTCTATCCACCTTGCAGTTCATTCATCCAACTCACAATTCCTTAGCTTGCTTGCAAGACTGTTGAGGGAGACCCTATCAAAAGCCTTGCTGAAGTCAAGATATACCACATCCACTGGTCTCCCCCATCTGCAGAGCCATGTTATCATAGATGGTTATCAGGTTGGTCAGGCATGACTTGCCCTTGGTGAATCTATGCTGACCATTCCTAATCACCTTCTTAGAAACGGATTTCTTGAAGACCCGTTTCATAATTTTTCAGGGACTGAGGTGAGGCTCACTGGTCTGTAGTTCCCCCAATCCTCCTCCTTCCCTTTCTTAAAGATGGACACTATATTTCCCACTTTGAATCATCTGGGACCTCTCCCAATTGCCACAAGTTTTCAAAGACAATGGCCAATGGCTCTGCAATCACATCAGCCAATTCCCTCAGCATCCTTGGGTCCCTCACATCTGGCCCCCTGGACTTCTACACATCCAACTTTTCTAAGTAGTCCCTAATCTGTTCTTTCACCACTGAGGGCTGCTCACCTCCTCCCCAAACTGTGCTGCCCAGTGCAGTAGTCTTGGAGCTTACCTTGCCTGTGAAGACTGAGGTGAAAAAGGCATTGAGTACTTCAGCCTTTTCTGCATCATCTGTCACTTAGTTGCCTCCCCCATTCAGAAATGAACCCACTTTCCCTGATTTTGCTCTTGTTGCTGATGTACTTATAGAAACCCTTCTTGTTACCCTTCATGTCCCTTGCTAGCTGCAACTCCAACTGTGCTTTGGCCTTCCTGATTTCCTTCCTGCATGCCCAAGCAGTGCTTTTATACTCCTCCCTAGTAGTTTATCCAAGTTTCCATTTCTTGTAAGCTTCCTTTTTGTGTTTTAGCTCACTGAAGATATCCCTGCTAAGCCAAGCTAGTTTTCTGCCAACTTGCTAGTCTTCCTGAGCATCTGAAAATATGTGAACATCTATTTACTAGTTTCTTTGTATTAACGCAGTCACATTTTTGTGCGTGGTTGGTCTGAATCTACTGAAATTTTGCCCCTTTGTGTTGTTAAATGAGTTGCATACATATGGGGTAGGTGCATTTCATCTCAGAAAAAAATCCAATTAAAAAAGAAACATTATTTTTTAAAGGCCATACATTTGTAAAAAGCTGTTTTGAGGAGGAGCTAGATAATTTGTAAGGAAAATCATAACAGCTTTTTGACAGTTTATATCTGGCCTGGCCACAGATTCTGGAGGTGGTTCTGCAATCTCATGGAGAGTTGCTGCTGAAGACAGACCAGTGAGAAAGATCATGATGTGTGCTTGTTTACTGTGATCAGAATCATCCTCCACAACACTGCTGTTATGCATGAAGGCATGAGGGATGTAAACAGGCTAGGCTATGCTGGGTATAGTGTTGGAGGGAGGAGGTATACACACAGGTCCACTTGTAATTTGGAGAAGGACTGAGCACTCTGTGTATGTTTCATCTATTCAGCTGAGCTTGACTGCTTTCTGTGTCTCTTTTATATTGGATTGTTACCTAGCTGGGTTTGGCCTCAAGTTTAACAGTGGGACCTCACTGATTCACCTTCTATATAAGCTACCAGACTCCCAGAGGGGACCCTAGTCATGCCTCTTTGTTTCTTTTTAAAGATCAAATCACACTATCCAGTTCAAGTGCCTACAATCAAGATAAGCAGGCAGGTAGCTATTGCATGGTCTTCTGTGGAAGAAGGCCTTCACCACAGTTGCCATATCTCTGCTAGCCTCTCAGCACTGAGTATTGGGCATTTCAGGCAGTGAAAAGATTCATCGATATGGGGTAAAATGAAGGCCATTTAAAAGGAAAAGAAGGTTTGGAAATATTTAATTGAAAAAGTCACTAAATTAGAGAAACACACACACTGTGGTTGATAAAATCCTTAGTACCCAACTTCCTAGACAGAAAGTGTAGGGTGGATCAACCTACACGCTATCCTGATTGCATAACAGCTCTCAGAGCTTCCATCATGATATAAAGGGAACTTGGCATAGTTGGAGAACCTGTCCAGTTAGATATGAATAAAGAATACACCAAAGCAATAAGGGCTAATGCAGTGGGCAACTGATAAAAGACTTAGAATAAAATGTTGCTTTATTACCTCTTGTCTATGCGGTGCTGGGATGCTGGGTGAGAGGAGGAATGATGAGGCCCCTGGCTGAGAATCACTGGTATAGATGGACATAAGTGTATCCATATAAGAGTTTTCTGCAGTGATACAATTGTTCCCATTTTAACATGGTCTCATTCAAGGTCAAAAGGTAGATTTAGGTAACTTGGATCACTACAGAATCATGAAAATTCATAACAGCTGCTGCTTGTTTCTGAGCAGTCACATTCCTATCTCCTTTAAGGCAGCTAAAATGGGTTTTTTCACCCTTGTAGACCTTAAAAAGCATTGTGTTTGACCTTATTTTTCAGACAATCAGCTGGTCCACCAATTAAATATGTAATTTCATGATGACCAACCTTTAACACCTTTTCTGGAACCTCAGGCAGGAGTTCCTGAAGTTGGTCAAAAGTCGCTGACAAAAGCCTGTTCAATGAAGACCCTCTTTTCAACATGAGCTGAGATACTAGAGGGTTCAGGCATGGAAAAGCAAGTAAGTGCTTCTCTGCCTAGAAGAAAAAGAAGTCAGTTTATAAATGTTCAAAATGATCCACTTAAGATATTCAGCTTCCCCTGTCTTTAGAAGGTGAAGAGAATGGTATCATTTTGATGTCTCTGTACACAGAATCTATCATAGAACCAGGATTTTGATCTGGTTACACCTTATATCTGTGCATTTCTAATGTGCATGTCACCATAACCACAATATCTTGCTAGTGGGAAAACAAATTACATAGAGTAGGAAGGATGTAATAGGAATGGCAAGTAACAGTTCCACAATTATGGTTGAAATCGGTGATCCATATAAATTCAATTAATACAGACTCCTGATTTCGCCAAAAATCTTAATTTTGTTTCAATATGTCACATGTTTACTCTTTAGAGCAGATTTTTTTTTAACGTTCAAGAGAAACTGCCCAAGCTGTGCTTGTATTACAGAGCAGTTACATTCGATAGTGTTTCTGACTTTCATACAAATTGTATATCATTGAGCTACTTCTTCAAGTTTTTGGCTTTTCAAGAGTTTGCATTTTACACACTGGTTGGCAAAGTTCTTTGGGTAGATGTGATATCTTTTATTAAACCAACTGAGTAGTTGGAACAAAATTCTTTGCAAGCTTTCGGGCACAAGTACCCTTCTTCAGGCATAGGGAGACATGTTGTTATTCTGAGATCTCCAAGGAATGAAAGAAGTACTTGTGCCTGAAAGCTTGCAAAGAACTTTGTTCCAATTACTCAGTTGGTCTAATAAAAGATATCACATTTACCCAAAGAACCTTGCCTGCCTATGTCCTTAGACCAACATGGCTACAGGCAAAAACCCTGAAACATTTTACAAGTCATATAAGCCTAAAACAAGTACATAATGTTAGTTTCAAAATGCTAATACCCATATCTAAAAATTGACTTTGTGATCAATAAGCATGTCCTGCATGTGAATAACTGACATCAACAATCTGATGAATAAACAATAAACGTTGACTATCTTGAGCTCAAAACTGGTTAAGCCCAACAACTTCAGAGCTAGGGACAGACATTTGAGAAGTCTGAGCCTGAATTTATTCAATCTTTGCAGGTTGGTTTAACCTGGCTAGGCTAAATCAGTTTTGTAACCAAACAGACATCTCAGAAATGCAGGCACATGCCAGAAGTGGCTCAGGCTGGAAGCTGGGGGGCGCTAGAGCAGGCCCCCCGCCCTTCCTTCCACAGCATGGAGCTGAGGAGGGAGTGGCCAGGTTAACCCAGAAGGGAATTGATAACAGTATTTATCACCCAATTAAGAAAACAACAGAGGGACATTACCAGTTACTTGTTGATTTTGCCTGTTGATTAAGCAGGGACCATAGCCAGCATGTGGTCTGCTAGCTAATACACAGACACCTCCTCAGCAAGGCAGAGGGGAGTGGGGAATTCCTGCTTAGCAGGCAGTGGTGAGGGGAGTGGGGAAGCAGCCCACAGTCTCTGGACCTCCAGCCAGGGATCAGAGGGGAGGGGCCAGTCCTGCTGTGGAGCAGAGAGCCCTGCCCAGCCCAGAGAGCAGACCAGGATGCTGGGGGAGTCTGATTGATCTTAAACCAGCAAGGGGTCTGGGACAGACATTGCATAAACCAGTCCGAGCCAAATCAGTTAAATCTGATACTACATTCAACCAGGTTTATCTCAGACTGGTTTCAGCCATTTTCAGACTGGTTTATGTGCACTGAACATCTGTTCTGTTACAGGTTTAAACCAGTTTCTGATCACTTAAACCGGTTTGTGTGTAATGTCTGTCCCCAGCCCAGTGGTAGAAGTCGTATGCTTCTAGCCAAGCATGTCCTCAAATCCTTTGTAGCATCAGATCTAAGTGTTCAGTAATCTGCAAGACAGAGTCCAGTTTGTTAATCTTTCCAGTTCATTTAGCTTTTAGAATTTAGTGTACAGAACTATGGAGTCACAACAGGATGATCTGGAGATTGATTTATTCTCTGGGATATTCTGCTGCTGTACACTTAAGATGAACACCTTTTTCGGTGCAGCTGTCTCTGAAAGCACAGGGAAGAAAACTGCATCTGCTTTTGCCTCAAGAATTCAAGCCCATTACATTTATATTTTAGAACAAACCATGAAAACAAATGAAGTAATGAAAACAACCTAGACTGTAAAGTATCTTAGACACAGAAAGAAAACTGTTTTTCTTAAAGCAGTTCACTTCTTGTTAAAGCCCATGCACACAAACCTCAGTTGGCAAGACAGAAAGCCATGATTTGTCCAGCCACTCGTGGGGATTTGTCTGGGAAGATACCAGAATGTTGTCAGCAATCTGACGAATTAACAATGCTGTCTCTTCAATCCCTGGTGCAAGAGCCAACTAAAAATAATGTAAAATTGTAATTAGGAATAAATACTCATATGTCAAGTGTCTGTAGCAGGCAACCAACTAAAAAATGTAGAAGTGTTGGTATAACCTCAAGCCATTAAAATTGCTCCATGCAAATGTTATGGAGCAGCTACAAACTCCTACCCTTAAGCCCTATGTGTTAACCCTGGAGTATTCATGTTCTAAGTGAAGTAAATATTAGATGTGATCAAGTGTATATATATATATAACAATGATTTCCTTTCAAATAAGTAATTCTTGAGAATGTAAAGTTGGTATGTTGTAGTAAAGGTGAAATGAAATTGTGGAATTCAGGATGTTTAGCACTTTGAATGTTTAAGTATTTTCTAATGAAGTACCCATCAAATATACGTTAAAGTCTACAGGGATTGACTGTCAGCTTTGTCTTTCCCTGAAGCTAAGCTTCCTGGAGGAACACCTTTGTAACAGATTTTAATGTCAGTTTAATAGAAAATCATCTTGTATTGCAAATTATTTTACGTTACAGATAAAGCACAGAGACCAACTTGGTGAACCACACATTTATTTTCCCTCCAGTTCCCACCTCCAATTTTCATTACTACAAATATTGTTTTCTCCATCTATTTTCTGAAGGAAAAAGCATTTTTATAAACATTTTATTTTCACATACAATGAAAACATGCAGTGAAATGGTACTCAGAGAGAAAAGTAATGCTTTCTTTTGTTTTTTAAAGCAGTAACATAATTAGTATTATGAGAGTAATCTGACATTGACTTCTACAAAAAAGTGACTTTCATTTAAGAAAAACAAACTCAGACTGGTACAGCAGGGTTCTTGTGCATAACAACAGATTGATACAATTATATTATCTCAGTATTATGATCTCTGGTGCATTGGATATATGTCTGATGCCTGATTCAATGCCTGTTGAAATCATACACGGGAGTCTTTTTATTGCTTTCACTGGGCATTAGCTCAGCCTCCTACATCCTATTTTAATCAGGTGTTTAAGCTTTGATTATTCCATAACTTTCACTTTGTTTCAAAAATGTTTTGGCAATGTAATAGTAGTGATATTACAGTGACACTGGAGATAAAAGCAGGCTTGTAAACTTCCCACCAAAAAATTACCTTCACTTCAAAGTCTTCAGATTTCTGTGCAAATGAAATCAAACCTGCATATATTAAGGCTAGATGATGCAGAGTCTTTCCTGTTAGACTGTACCTGAAACAGAATTGCATTATAATACCACACGGTTCTAACATCTGCATAAAGGAATTTGAAGACATCTGACAAAGACAAATTTTTCTGCAGCTATATAGTTTATCTAACTAGAACCAAAGCTCCATAAACATAAATTTAACACGTGACTCTGCAAAAACAGAATGAAATGCAGGAGGGA